AGCTCCCCTTTGCCTTTGCACCTGGTTCTTTCACCTTCTTCTCTCTAATTTGTGACTTCACCGAATCCGCAATCTTCTTGCTCTCTTCCAGTTGTTGCGTCAAGGCCTCATGAGAACATAGTAGAGTGCTGGTGGGGGTTAGGGACTTCCAAGATAATATCATGGCACCTTTGGAGCATCGAAACTTTGGAATGCAGTGCTCGTATTCCATTAAACTTTAAATTCCACTCCAAAACTTTGTCCTTACCTGACCAATGATCACGTTGCCCAAGGGACGGTGTGTTGAGCACTGATACCAGCTTTCGACCCAAGAGCTTCAACAGCCTTGTCCTTAGCCGCTGCGAGGCTAGATCGCGCAGCTGTCAGATCAGCGAGGAGTGCTTGCTTGAAGGCATCTTTCCTTAGAAGGTGCGGTTGCGGGCTGCGTTTCAAGTGGTTTGGATCCATGGGATTGCCAACCCAAAAGGGCATGGAACATTCCAATTAACAAGTCCAAGTACATGTGCGGGGACCCTGTCATTAGATGCAGCAGCCTTTGAAGATATGTGATTTAACATTTCTGTTTGAGAGCCGAGTCGCACAGTCCGAGCATTTTTCAGCTGCATCTCCAACTGGATGGACTCGGTGAGGTAGCGGTTGGCCGTGTTGTTGGCCTCACAACCAATGTGGTGGAAAGAGCATCTGTTGACCTTTCTTGGCCACGTTCCATCCTAGGGATTTGGGATGTAGAGTCTCTGAGTTCTGACACCGCTGAAAGGCCATTTGTGTATGCGATGTGTGTGCATGCAACTACTGGACACTTAATAGTGCCCCCCCCCCACTATTGCCCTCCTCAGTACGACATTAAAGCCAAGTTGCAGACGCCAACTTCTGTTCTTCACTCTTTGGCTTCACAGGCTTCGGTTTAGGGGCACCACCACTGCCACCGCCACTACCGCCAGCAGTAGTGGCCAGATGAACATCATCGCCCAATGCTTTCTCCCTCAAAAGCTGGCCAGTGGGAGACAGCTGAGATGTCATGTCACTAGCTACAAACAATCCATGACAGAGGTTCCTGTAAAAAAACTATACTATCATAATAATCCATATATTTAAATATATGTAAACAGTGGATTGTGTTTCAACCCCACAGCATTGCATGCCAATTCAGATCAGGCAGGGCACGCGCCATCAAACCAATCATCTTCTTCCACGTCGGCTTCGCGATTGAACTCAGCACAGGTACCCTTGATCTCTTTCTTCTTCTCCACAATGCCTGTGAAGGCCTTGTACCGAAAGAGATCTTCGTTCTCTGGGAAGTCGGGGTTCCTGAACGACAGGGATATCGGTTTCGATGGGTTGTATTGGTGTCAATATTATTCTAATAAACAAGAAAGAGCACCAGTTCATGGGGTCAGCAACTTTCAAGGGAACACCTAAATGACATATGTACAAGCTGGGTTGCCTTTTGATGAATGTGTTCTTCTTGTTCGCTGGCAGCTTGGACTCTGCATCCTTGTGCCGCTCAATCAGATCATCGGCCAGCTTCTCACCATAGAGTTCCACAAGAGTTGTTCTGGTGACGAAGCTATATTATCTGTTGCTCTTCACTCGTGTTCTTCTTGAAGATCTTGATGCAAATCGACGACTTCGTCCACACCCCTTTGCATGCCAACCAGTGTAGGTATAGCTCATGCATCTTCCCAAGCCTGCTACCTTACTGGTGAACTACTGGACATCCTATACTTTAAGTGCCATAGTGGGCGGAGAGGATCTATTTATGAGGTGGACAGATTAAAACACAATATGTGGTGTGAGTTTGAGGGCATCTATACAAATGAGGTAAAGCAAATTCAACCTTTATCCAATTCAGTCAGATAACCTGCTTTCTCTGCCTCGATCTTCCGCAAAGCAACCTCCTCTGGAGGTGGGTTCTTGGTGCCTCAAAGGGGTCGACGGGTGTTGAGACATGATCAAACGTACAGCAAAGGGCAAGGTTTTTTTAGTGGCTAACATCGAGCGTTGTTTCATCAGCTGCTGAAAGAGATCAATCATTTATGAATTGTGGAGGGGGCACTGCTCCACCAAAAGCTAACCTGAAAAGGGGGGTGAGCTTTAAAGGAACTACATTGGCACCCAAAACTTAAGACCCCTCCAAATCTGGTAGCGCCTGAATACAAATTGGGCAACCCCCGAGTTCCAAAGCACACGTGCAGGCTAGGGGCTGCGGATGGAACGGTAGAAGCGCATCCACAGCGCTGCGGCTGATACTGGTTCGCCTTTCTTGTTCAACCTCCAACCGTCGGGGCCTGGGCCAGGCGCATCCTCCCCAATAGGAACAGCGCCATCGCCATCTTCATGCTTCTTGGATTGATCACGGCCATCGTGCTTGGGAGGTTCCTTCACCTCAGCGGGAATGGGGACATCAGGTTCCTTCACCTCAGCAATGCCAGGGGCAATGGGGGCATCAGGTTCCTTCACCTCAGTAGTGCCAGGGGCGATGGGGGCATCAGGTTCCTTCACCTGAGCAATGCCAGGGGCAATGGGGGCATCGGGTTCCTTCACCTCATTAATGCCAGGAACATCAGGCTCCTTCACCTCATTCTCAACACCACCCACCCGGCTGGGAGATACGATGCTGTTGAGGACGTCTGAAACGGACGAGGGCTGGCGGTCGTAAAGTGCTCGGTGGATCTCACTATTGTCGACGTCATAATAGGGTTCATCCTGACCATCCCCATGATGATCCCAAGACGTTTGCCGATCATCCCAACCATTATTGCTCCAGGATTTGTCCTCATGTGGCTGCCAGCTCCAACATCGGTCCCCCCCATGCACCCACATAGCGCTGCTTGCAGTGGTCCCAAAACCAAGACTGGCTGGGAGGGTAATAGTCCCACCCAGCACCCCACCATGATTCACCACGTGATCCATAGTATGAGCGTTGGCTACACCCTGTGTCCGGCTCCCATTGCCAGTGGTCTTCATCTGAAGTAAACGAACCGAGGGTCTGCATTCTTTGAACAGGAGATGGGGTCAAAGAAACAGTGCTGGGTAGCGACCTGTAGCTGTTGACCTTGCTAGGTGGTGTGACGAGATGCTCCATTAGTAGTGCGTCATTTCCACCACTAGTACTGTTTGGCTTGGAATCCTTGACCTGCTCATCATCACGCTTCCCCTCGGATTGCTTGGTGTCAGTGGGTTGTTTGGTCTCCTGGGTATTGGGCGCACTGGGCATCTCACATGAATCCTTGGGTTGCTTGGTCTCCTTGCCCTGGACCTCACTGCGCACCTCCTCAGAATCCTTGGTGCCAGTGTGTTGGCTGGCCTCAGACACCTTGGTGGTCACCTCCTTGGTGGCCACCTCCTTGGCATCATTGGGCATGGAGCCCTTAGGCTTAGCAGCAGCAAGGCGGAGCGCCTTTGCCTTTTCCAGGAAAAGTCTTGTTCTGTCACTGGCACCAGAGGGGGAAGCACTACTGCTGGCTTGAGTAGATCCTGGTGAACCTGAAAGGGAATCAGGTTGCTTGGCAGCCTTGGCAGGGGGGTGGTGCAAGGCTTAAAGCCTTAGGCCGGTGAAGCGCCAACTCCGCCTCGCTGACTTTGCGAGTGCATCTGATAGGGGGCACTTCTGGTGCACCCTTTGCCACAGCCTTGGCAGAATCACCCTTCTCAACAGTCGGCATCGAAGGCTTTGGAGGGGGGTGCATGAGCAGCCTGAACTGCTGCTTTTGGTGGAGCTTTTGGTGGAGTGGGAGGCTTGGCTGGTGCGCTGGCACTGGACTTTGCACTGGACTTTGCCTTCACAGACATACGTGATTCCTGCTCCACTGTTTCAGATTTCCTTTTTCCTGCTTCAGCCCTTGCAGCAGCTACTGCATCACGAGCTTTTGCCAAAAAGCTTTGTGCCCTGTTGGGGTCCGAGGGAGACTGCAAGACTTGTACCTTCTTGGGCCGGCCCATGTGTCCTCACAGGGTGAAATGTGGTCAATGCCCGGTACAGTTTCTCAAATTCTGGACAAAAAAAATTTGGTTATACTAGTAACCAGGGTCCCAAATTCCACATCACGGTTCCGATGCCGTACTAACGGTTCCGGGCCCCTTAGTAACGGTTCCGGGCCCCTTAGTAACGGTTCCGGCCCCCTTAGTAACGGTTCCGATGGCATGCAGTTTCAAGAACCTTTCCTGGACTTCAAATCAAACGTAGCCAGCGGTGCACTTACTGGTAGCTTGATCCACAGACTTCACTGGGTCACTGTGCAAATCATTGCGGTTTGACCCCAATGTGTCTGTCAGTGAGTGTTGACATCCCAAGAGAGGTTGACAGGACTAAGGAGTTTTGTGTTTTGGGGTCGTCCTGTGAACCTCTTTGGTCGATCTGAGTTTGGCAAAACACTTTGAACCACAGCGGTCACTTGCGTAGACAGATCGTTGCGGTAACCCACAGCCGTTCACACGAATTTGCCTATTAGCATTAAAAGTACAGCACTAGGCACTAGGGAGCCATGAAGCGATCTCATAACTTAGTGACATGGATCTGAAGAAAGACACATATGCTCTAGTGCTGTTTGCGCTTTTGTCCAGTTTCTGCTGGACTTAACATGTCAAAATAGAGCTGCCCCTCTGATTTGTTGAGAGGCGCAATTCTCAAAGGCAATCCCTTGCGGGGCTCGAAACGTCCAAGGTCCATTTCATCTTTCAAGAACTTGACCAGCGGCTCCTGGGATCAAGGCTGGCTGGCCAGGGATGGGTACCAAATAAACTCATGCCAGAGTGTGAACAAGGGGTCTAATGTCGACATCAAGAATCTAATCCAGCATCATCCCAAAGCGATGGCTTAACCTGCAGTTGACTGTCTGCAGGCCAAAAAAAGGCCCTACAAAACAGAGCAAACAAACCGGTGCACCAGAAGTCTTCCCACCCATATAGCTAGCTATATGACAAGTAGCCCACGCGTGAGGGCCAACAGATGCTTGGTGTGCATCAGGGCGTGGTGGCAGACTGCCTGTATCCTGATAGATTCACCAGCCAAACAGCTCTTCTTGTGGGTTGGCCCCAACAATTAATAATATGATCTCGAACATAATGAGCCAAGATTCGATGCAATACTTCTTGTGATAGGAAGCCACTTTGCTACAGAATGTAGCGGGGTATGATTGTGTCTCCTTGAGGTTGGGTCCGCCTGACCTGGCCAGATCTATGGTGTTGAAGAAGGCACCACACCACTGTGTGGGTAGTCGGGGGTACATGACATGGTTTCAATCATATACTGCTGCCCAGACACACGTTTTTTGGTGCCATCAGACTTCTTGGTCACCCGTACGTTACCCTCTGAGTTCCACTTGAACTTATTTCTGTCAGCAGCTGTGACCTTCGCACCCAAGCTGAACAGAAAGATCCAAGGCCTCAACAATTCAAGGGTTGGGATGGGTGTACCATGTTGCTATGTCTTTTCAACTTCCCACTTCATTTGGGTAAGTGAGCAGCCTCATACAGCGTGCAGCCAAGTGGCGCATCTCCAAAGATCACAGTTCTCTTCAAGCTGCGGTGACCCATGAGGCCCATCCAACTCAGATGCACCAGCGGGAAGTGGCCAATTGGTACGGGAGCCCAAAGGTTGAATGTTCAAAAGAGTCTTCAAGAACTGCATTGTTCACCCCTAGTATTTGAAATTAAATTAAAGACATCTTCCTCTACATATAGATTTGGTCAGGGTGTCACCCTCAGTGATAAACTATACCAATAAAGCGGGTTTGTGACAAGGTACAACTTCTGGAAAAGGCCTGATGCAAATCCAATCATAAGCTTGGCCGGATAGAGCACCATTTCCAAGTACGGTAAGTATTGGGCAAGAGAACTCACCGGTTGCTCCGTGACCCAGTAGACCTGTCTTGCCAGGCATACCAAGACACACAGCGCAAAGCGCGCAGCCAGAAGGTTTCCAAGGCGTACGCACTCATGGCGATACGATCCTCCTTGCTGCACCCCCCCTTGGGTTGCTGCGGGTCTTGCCAGTTGTTCCGCGGCTCACCCAAACATGCATCGAACACGGCAATCCAGACCACAATAACCCACCAGGTCGGAGACGGAGTAGGTACTGAAGTGCAATCAGGAACCCAAGCCTTGGCCGACTAGAGGCTTTTCGAGTTCAACAGGTGAAAAAGGGTTCCCAGATAACATTTAAGCCAAGTGGAAAATTGCCACCCTAAGTGCCCAACGTGCTGGAAAAATCCATTGAGGGGTCCTTGCTCAGATCGTAGAGGGCGCACTTTAGATTCAGGCGGCCTCAGCACACAGCAGCATAGTCAATACATGCTTCCTGCGTATGCAGAAAATTGCATATCAGTGTATCCCCTTTTGGTCTTTAGGGCTATGGCTGAAGGCGCGGCAAATCCCTCCCCAACCACAGAAGAGATCGAAGCCCATCAGATCCTAACGAAGCAACCAGATCAAACTGATCAGATGGTGGCGTTATTCCAAACCCAATTTACAAGTTATTGTTTACTTGGATTCTGTGAGCAGTCAGCCAAGGCTCTCGTTTATACTTAATGTCTGAAGTTTGCGCGACGTAATCAAGAAGATGGACCCTTGGCCGCCAAACACTCAAAATCATTTCACTATTCTTTGCATTGAAATGAAGTGGCCATAAGCGCAAACCAATGCAAACAAAAGGCAGAACTGGCGGCCCTCCTAAGGCCAAAATGAGTGCAACCTCCAACACCGACAGGCCGAAAGAGGCGGGCATTGCCGTGTGGCGGAATGCTCTGCAGGCTTCTTGTGACTGAGCCTCAAAATCTTGAAAGCGTGGAACTGGACATCATCCATAAGACGTATTAAACATGTAATGGTCCTTGTGTTGCAACACACTGCATTTTGCGGTCAGATGAGCTAGACTTTTTTTCTTTCCTTTAATGCTTATCGCTCTTTTTGGCCACACATCCACAGCCCCCAAAATCAAACAAAGCGGGATTATATATAATGAAACAACCACTTCAACAGTGATGTTGTTCTTGAGGCGTGGGGGGAAGGGCCACAAAACGCAATCCTGCTGAACATGGATCCGGAGTTGTGTCTTTACCCCTTGTGCCACTCGCCCTGACCCCAGGTTTCAGACCTCTTCAGCAACAACACTTTTAATCTATAGACAGTTTTCTCAGCAGGTTGTTACATTGTTTTTTCTTTCGGGCCTGACAAGCAAAACCCTCCCTGACAGGGATGAGAGTGGCAAGAACACTCTAGCTCCGGTCTGCCACATGTCAGGATCTTTCTAGTCGTCCGCTTCGTCCACCTCCTGCGCAGCGGGTTTGGCAGGAGCGGGCTTGGCGGCAGAGTTTAGGAAAGAGTTCAAATCCGAATAAACTTCTCTCATTGCTTCAGTGAGAGAACGTCCAGCATCCAACTGCATAGCCTCAGACTTTTGGCGCAAGAAACAAGATTAATGTTGACATTAATGAACTGACTGCGTGCAGTTTCCAGATAGTATATAGGGAGCGTGCCAGCTTCGAGCACAAATCAACACTGGTAGCCATTGCACACTCCCCGAGGTGCTCCATACTCTTGCCATTGATGAAAGCAATCTGACCAGAACGTTCAAACTTGGTTCAATGGTTCCAAATAGTTTGGTGTTTGACAGCAATTAAAAAGATGTCAATGCCTCCTTCTTCCGCGAAAACTCTGTTGCCAACAGTTCCACACCCACGTCGCCACGTGTCCAATATGGAGTGACCTGCGCGCATAATCAACAAACCTGTTAAAGCTCAGCACCTTGAGTTGGGATAGCTGTACACAATAATGAAAGGCCTTGTAGTCGGCAAGCTTCGGCAAAGACGCGGTGATTTGCTCCCTCGACTTTTGGTCTGGCGGAAGAAACACGTGCCCTATGTGTGCGCAACCTCAGACACCCCACACGCGCGCACACCTGCCTACCACATGGGCTTCTGTGGTCTGCTTGGGCTTCTTGCTCTTCTTTTCACCCTTACCTTGTGCAGCTCTCTTCCTAGCAGGCTGCTTCTCCTCCTCCTCCTGCTCCTGTGCTGGTCCTGTTGGAACTGTCTTGTTCTTTCCCTTCCTTCGTCCCTTTCCTTTGGTGCCAGGTGGCTCTGCAGTGTTTGCTTCCTCAGCCCCCCCTGTACTCTGCGCAGGCTCTTCGGTTTGCTCCTTTGCTGCCCCTTTGCCAGCACCCTTGCCACGGCCTCTGCCGCGACCCCGGCCAGCGGCTTTAGCTTCTGCCTTTGCAGCAGCCTTTGCAGCAGCACGCCTACAGTTCAGCAGTATTTTTTTAGAATGAAACAACATGTCTATACGACGTCAACGACCGTACGTAAACATGACCCTACCGTTTCTTTTTTGCTGAATGCGGTCGTAGCTTCAGTGCTGATTGTTCTTTGAGCATGTCATCGCTAAATTTGATGTCGTTCACATGCGGGAACACTTCCGATAAGACTTCAGTCAAGTTAGGCGGGTTTGCCAGCAAAGGTTGCCTGCTGGCATGGTTGGAAGAAACAACACATGCAGTCAAGAATCCACGAGACACAAACAGTAACACGACGCCGCCCGCCTATGTGGTGCATCCTGCACACATATGTGGCGCGTGCATGGACCCATAAAACTATATTTGCGTCTCATGGGCTCGATGCTTATGGACGCCCTTAAGACCCATCATGCGCACCTCACCATCATCATTACCTTCTTGATCAGCCGGAAGCGATTCCTGTGGACAAGACGGCGGATTCGTCGCTTGTGCCGGGATTAATAAATATACTATTGCAAGATTGTTTCATCTCCCATGATATTAACTCTTGCAATCTTTAAACACGTTTCGGATATTGACCGAGCTCGTTGAATTTGGAAGTCAATTGACAAAGAGCAGAAGCGACAGGCCTTTTGCCCACCTGCATCTTGTTGGCCAGCTGGGTCAGCCTGATGCACTGCGCTGGCTGGCTAGGATGTGCACAGCCCTCAGGATCGGTTTTACATCAGGACTGTTGAGACGAACCTCAATACCCAACTCTGGCTCCATGGGGGGGTTTCTGGCGTGATTTTTTCTTTGTGAGGCTAAGCATGATGAAACATGTCTATATTGTTCAACTGATTGTTGGACCTTGGCAACCATATGTTCCACAGCGGGGCGTTCTTGTCCAGAAGCATGTCGATCTTCTCCTCCAGACGCCTGCAGCACATATTGAATTTAAGGGCTGAACGGCTGAGGGTTTGGGAACAGTTGGGCACAGGCATACTGCCATGGTTCCGTGATTTTTTCTTCCACTGATTCAACATCGTGCAGTAGCAACCTCACAAAATAAAATTAAAATTCTAGTGGGGGTGCCTCCTCAGTAGCAGGAAGTTCAGCAGACTGATGAGCTCCTTGATCGGGCCGCACCTGCGACAAATATCTATTACAATTTGCTGTGAGGAGCAAGTTCAGGCCTCCTCTTCAGCGCTAGGATGTTGAACAAACTGAACTTCTTGATCGGGCTGCACCTGCGATGAAAAACATAATTCCGCATTCTATACTATGAGGAGCAAGGACAAGCCTCTGCTGTACCAGATTGATGTTCAGTCTCATGAGGTTCCTGATCAGGCAGCTAGATAAAGACTTGCCATGTATTATTGCAAGTACAGTCAAAATTCAACAATGAAGCTTTAGAGCGAGCTCAAGCCTCCTCTTGGATACCAGGATTTTGGTTTTCAGTCTGAGCTCCGTGATCTCCAGGCTGCACCTGCAAAAAATGAATCACGGGACCAGTCAAGAGGTTACCACCATGCCTCATCTTGTGGCTCCATGGGAGAGTCTCCACGTGCAACTTCTTCAGTGGGCACCTGCACTTACAAGCATCAGCATAAGGGGGGTGCTCAAGCAAAAGCGGAGGATTTGTTTCTGAACAGGATGATCACTGACCTTTTGAATATACCTAGAGTCGAATTCCATTGAAGTAATTCTGGATCTGTCACCGGCACCTCCTGTTGCATGCCACTACCTGTAGGATGTTCTTCCACGGCTTCTGCAGGCACCTGTGAGAGTGCAGGCACTTTGTGTGTGTGTGTGTGTCTCGACTGAGGTAGAGTTGCCAGCCACGAAGGCGTGAGCTTCCACAGGAAAGAAAACGCTTTCCCCAACCCACGTACAACAAGTGCATTATGGGATCCAAAGTTTTCCTGTGGAAGCTCACGCCTCATCTCCTGATGGTCAGCTTTCGAAGGACTGGAAACGTGTGTTGTCGTGTTACCAGGCCTTAGCGGGTTTTGGTGTGCACCATCTCTTCAATGTCGTCTTTGGGTACTGAGGCTGCGGGGGCCAGTCCATTGGAAGGGTCTCCATTTGATCGACATGGGACCCCATTGGTGCGGATTCCACATCCATGGATCCCGAAGACTCTATGTGTTCTGCGGTCTCCATGGGCTCTTCCTGCAGAGCTTCCCCATTTACCTGCTGGGGCGCGGTAGCCGGAGCCGCGTGAGCTTCCATCATGTTAAGGATGTCCTTAAGCTGCTGAGTCGTCTCTGACCTGGTGCAATGCAAGTGGGAAGAACCATCACCCCCCCGTGGCTACCTAGAGAGGCTGAGAGGACACAAAAGGGTCCACACTAGATCGTAGTGTGGACCCTTTTGTGTCCTCTCAACCTGTGTTGGTATTTTAATTTTCTAGCAACCAGTTTTAAAAACAAAATATAGACGTGACATAGTGACATAGTGCTGTTTTAACCAAATGACTTGGATTTGAAAGCCGACTTTCTCCATAGTCGAATCATGTAGGTGCAGTGAGAGCGCAGGACATTGCTTTGATATTCTGCCCACGCTTGCAGATCCTTTTGGCGTGTTTCTTCAGGATGTAGGCCCAGTAGCTGGTCAAGGTAAAGGAAAGCAGCCTGCACAATATATAGTCAGG